CTAAATTACATGAGCAACAAAAACTCAAGTTTTGCGACAACATTTGATTGTCGCGAAATCGATTTCTTTTTGAAATGTCTACAAGAATTTATCCCAGCTTATAAGTAAATATAGTATCAAAAAATTGCACAAAAGAAAAAAAATTAAAAAGAAATGAATCGTTGAGGTTATAAAGTAGTAACTATGATGAAAAGTAATCACGATTAAGATAGCATAAAATCGATAAAACAATTTATTTGACGAAATTCAAATACATATCATAGTACTTCTATAATCTGAGTTCATATCTAAAGTCGAGATAACAAAGGTAAGATAATCCAAACACTCATTATTCGATAAATCGTTTCAATTTATCGGCGACGTGAAATTGCAACTGGTAATTTTTGACGTTTTTGAAATCAAGTTCTCAAAATTGAACAAGATTAATCCCCAAAAAAAAAAGGAAAAGAATTTTTTACGTTACCTGCAAGTAAAAGATAAAATCCGTAACCGACTGATAGCCCGTTGCTGAAATTAAGTACAGAGTATATTAAGTTTGTTCTATTGCAGTTTCTAATCACAGCTTTAAAGAGAGGAACAATGGAACTGAAAAATTCTCTCAATTTCAAAGTCAACAAAATAAAAATTGATAAGTTCCACCAAAACATAATTGTTACACATTCACTGGTTAGTGCATCTGCGCACTTGTGCGTGTAATTTTCCAAAAAGTACATCATAAAAAAGGTCGCAGGAAAGTTTGATAGATGTTAGCATGCGTAACCAAACAATGCTATAAGTACAGATAAATTTCATAGAATGCACACAGGAATTTGAAATGGATGGAATGGATTCAAACATTCAGGAGGGAAAAAAACAGATACACGGACAGGATTTTCCAATTCAAATTTCTGTAGGAAATCTGGTAATATTTCCTGTACTTAGAGAATTATTCGGAATAGAAACTATAGATAAAAGGTAATAGAAAAAGAATTAGAGAATGTCCTTCTGGAGACTTCGAAAGCGAAATTTCCTGTGAGATGTTTAGTCTTGAATGCGATGCAGAGGTTGGCAGATGAAAGAGACAGTAGGATATATGGAAGTTTTGTGGATGGAAGAATCGGGCTGCGATTGAGCCGTTTGGGAAAGAGTGACGGTGTTGGAGCGATGGGGGGAAGGGCGGACGAAGGTATACTGACAAAGGAAGGCTGGAATGTCCGGATCTCCCGCGCAGCGCGGAGAGAAGAAGAAGAAGAAGAAGAAGAAGAAGAAGGCACAGATGAGTGGTGTTGGCTATCCTTTCCCTCAGTCAATAACTATGGCTTGCCCTTTTTTTTTTGGGTTAATCCATTTGCAATTGTATACCATGGATTACCCTCTCACATAAAGATTAAACCACTCTACCAGACTAGACCTGTAAAAGGTAAGGTCTGGTAGAGCAGTCACTGTCCCTCACATAATGTGAGGAGTTCGTGTGTGTTTAAAAATTTCAAGAATGTGGTCCACATTTTCATTGTGAGTAGTAGGTAAAAGATTCGATAAAAAAATTCGATTCATGTAGCACGCTCATAATGGGTAAGAGTTATCTTGCCCATCACTGACGTGGCAACGGTTAATCCTACAATTTTTGACAATTAAAAGTTGACTTAGTAGGTAAAAGATTCGATAAAAAAAATCCGTTAGAGATTCTCCTATTTTTGATTACTTCAACCTTTGAAATAAAACTAAGCTACTTGCCTCGTATTAGAGATCTAGTTTTATCAATTGGATGTCTGGGGATAATCAATACATTTCATACATAAAAGTATGCATATTATTCATCAATAGACAGCAATTTTTTTTATAACATCTTTCATTTGCTTTCTATATAACCCTTGTAGCGAGCTTTAGGTCGATAACTTCCAAGTCAAATGACCATAAGGCACTAGGTTTTAAACCCTAGTAGGCTTAATCACTCGAGTTGAACAGGCTTGAACAGATGTCTTTATTTATTCAATGATAAGTGCAATGCCCCGTTTCTTTTAGACTTCCAGTTTCTAAAACTAATCCCTAACTTGAAACTTTCGTCTCGTTTTCATCTCATTGGTTTTAGATAATCCACACATAATATCATGCACGAAATCCCTATTCATCTCAATGTTCCCTTGCAACAGTTCAATCACCTCCAAACCATTCTAAAAAT